CAAAAACAAACTGTAGGGGTGTAAGGAAATATCGATACACTGAAATATTGCGATATTTCATTTCCCGATACTGTATTGATATTCTAAAGCCCTGTATCGATTTTTAATTAAGGTTTAAAATGTCAACCTTCTTGCCAACCGTTCATTTTTATGTTGTAGTTCAGCCTCTGACCACTARTTGGCAGCAGTGAGCCAGCCATTTGGCTCCTTTACCTCTTGAGCGCCAGAGAGTAAGGGTAGCATTAGCATTGTAAGTAAACATTAGCTTTTCTTTTTTCTTTTCTTCAGTAAGAGGTTTTTATTTAATAGAATTTTTGGACAAAAAAATTGCAATATATCACAATACATTGCCTTGCTTACAGTATCGTAATATATCGGGATATATCATATCGTGACCCCTCTGTTATGATATGTATCGTATCGCCAAATTCTTGCCAATACACAGCCCTAACAAACTGTACAAAAAAGAAGACTTGTACCCTCAGCCCATAGTAACAAAATAATCAATGCTCTTCATTTCACTGGAYGGTAGTCATAATGATATGGCTGAGTGGTGCATTCATTAAAGCTCTTAATTTTCTAATTAACTCTAGCTGAACTATTGATTTGGATAGCTGTGTGAAAAGTGYAAAAACTTGCTTAGCTCAGATTTGTTTTATAATCCTCTGTGAAAATGGAAAATGCAGGGATGCAAGCAGAAAATACATAATCAGTCTTATATCATCACAATACATACATTTGCATATTTCTGTTCCCAACCTGTCATATTTGTACATCTGTATGATATTTTAGACCACCACATATATTTGTTTTATATTATAACTTTGCTCAAGGACTTCTGGATGAATGCTAACTGCATTTCGTTGCCTGTACTTGTGCAATGACAATAAAGTTGAACCGACCGACCGACCGACTGACCTACCGACCTACCAAACTACCAACCTACCAACCTACCTACCTACCTATCTATCTATCTATCTATCTATCTATCTATCTATCTATCTATCTATCTATCTATCTATCTATCTATCTATC